GAAACTTGTGAGAGCTAAGGATTAACGAGGTCTTACCTTTTAACGTGTGATTCCTAACACGGGTTGGACGGTAGCAAGTGAAGATCGATCGTTCAGACTAGGGCTTGAACCACCGACCAACACGGCAGTCAATTCAAGCGGTTCGGCGTAGGTGCTTTACCTACGCCGAACCGCTTGGCTACCGACTGCCCCAACTATAAATAGTTGTAATAAAAACTTTAATCCAGTTTGCTACATTTTTTATTTTTATAACTGTATATCAAGTATGTATAAAATTATAGTTTAGCTAAATATTTTGTGATCTTTCGTTTTTGTGTACTGCTTTTAGATATAGAAGTTATTTCCAACCATGGTTTTCGTGTACATTTTATTTCATGTGGAGAATTTTTTCATTAATTTAAACGGTAACAGGGTCATATACACTTCCATTATTAAAATTTTTGTGTTATCAACATGAAAATGTCTACTGCCGAAGATTTTTCAAAAATAACGTTTTTATTACGTTTTGTGTTATTTGGATCCCATGTATAATTTATTATCCCTTCAAATGCATTTCTTGCACTTATTTCTTAGATTTAGTTGTCAAAAGTGAGTGTGATTTTACTTTGAATCACGAATGAATCAGAAATTATTTACGCGCCCCATGAATTTTACAATTTGGCAATGTTGATTATTTGTATTGTTCTCATTGGTCAATCGAACAAAAAGCGGGAATAGGCCCGTGACGTCACGGGCCTAGAAAATCTTATTTTTAATAATTAATTACGGAAAAACAACGTATTCAGAGAGCTGAAACAAAGTGCACTGTTTTTCAATTTGAAATTAATATCAAATGAACTGTAAACCGCAAATCATGAAAAAGCCCATTGTGATAAATATGCTTGTGTAATATTTGAACAGCCCCTTTTCAATAGGTTTCCTAACGACTACTGCTGTTTTGTTACTTGAATTGATTCCTTCTTTCATTCTAGTTCCCACGGAACGTTATATTTTTTTCTTTACTTTTCAGGCCTGCATTGACGACAATCTGGACATGGTCGAATTCCTCGTCGAGAATGGAGCGGACGTCAATAGAGGCGACAACGAGGGTTGGACACCGCTTCACGCCACAGCCAGTTGCGGTTTTTTATCCATCGCAAAATACCTTATTGAAAAAGGCGCCAATGTCGCCGCTGTCAATAATGATGGCGAACTGGCGCTTGACATTGCGGAATGCTCGAAGATGGAGGATTTACTCAAGGAGGAAATCGAAGAAAGAGGTGAGAGCGAATGAGAGATGGGCCGTTTATTCATTCATTTCATAAATACGATGCCATTGATATAAATATAGAATAAAAACATTAAAAGGAAGTGTCCTGAAATTTGCTCCGCTTGAAAGTTGGTTTTAGTATACGGAGGTGGTCCCAGAAGTGCTCGGCCCAACAAAGAGAACACAAAAATGTTGGGAAAAAATGTATTTATTTTTCAACATATTGTTACGTTTTTCCCCGTGGGTTGAACAATAATTGAGTACACTGAATAGTCAAACTTAACTTCACTTCACTTTAAATACAACAAACACTTTAACTAAAACTGTAACTATTATTCGAATGGCTATCGCCTTACTAGATCGCTTCGCATACAGCACTGTAACTTCCACTTGGCTGTCTCGATATGTTCGTGGCTAGCCTTTATACATCGTAATCGAATGCGCTAGAAAATTTCGCCGAAATCCCGTCGAAATCGGTAGCATTATTCTCGCTACATCTAGAGCGGCAGCGAACATCGTACATTCCATATCGCCATCTTTGGCGAATCAATGTCATATCCACGAACATAACACACGAAACGTTCACCACATTAGAATAAATCGATTTCGTCTTCACTTATCGCAAAACAATTCCATAGATTACTNAATCAATCACCTATGACAAGCCATTGACTAGTTACCAAAGACAATTTACCGATGATAACTTGGCGAACTTTTATAATTCACTAAGCAATGAAGGATGGCAAGAAGTAAATACACAAATTGATGTAGATTCAAAGTACAATACTTTTTTAGAATTTTTTATTACTATTTTGACATCGGATTTCCTTTTAGGAAAGAACCAAATTCTCAAAAAGGAAAACTAAAGAAATGGGTAACACCCGAGATCAGAGAATGGGCGCGGAGATTGCGCGATATGTATTCATTTTACAAAGAAACCAAGCTTGAAAATTTGCACCTGAAATATAAGGCTGAAAAAAAATAATACAAGCATGCGATCATCAGTGCTAAAATAGAGTACAATGACAATATTATCAGTAATTCGCAGAACAAAAGTAAAAGTACTTGGGCCATGTTCAGTAACGTAACAGGAAAACAAAATAAAAATCTAGTAAGTTTCAATCTAAAAATTAATGACGAATATGTTACAAATCCGCAGCAAATTGCAAAACACTTCAGTGATCACTTTGATACATCAAGGTATAGAACAGATACAGGTACTCCGTCCAACCAAATAAACCTAAATTGGCCTTATCATCATATGAACCACCATGTTCTTGAAACCAACCTGCCCTGATGAAGTACGGCGTACTATATTGGCCCTACCACCAAAATTTTCAGTTGGTGTTGATGAGATACCGACTGTTATACTTAAACGTGTAGGGATCCTAATTTGTCATCCACTAGCAGATATAATGAATGAATGCTTCTCTACTGGAACATTTCCTGATGCATTGAAAATTGCCAAAATTGTGCCAGTTTACAAAAAGGGGAAAAAATGAAATATCAAACTATAGACCAATTTCTATTCTGTCAGCTTTTTCAAAAATAATTGAACGCCTCATTTACAATAGGTTATTGTCGTATTTTATTGAAAATGATATATTTGTGATGAATCAGTACGGTTTTCTCCCTAATAGATCCACCAAATCTGCAATTTATGATTCACTCAACTATATAATTGATCAACTCGATAATGGCAATAAAGTTACTGGTATTTATTTTGACATAACGAAAGCTTTTTCCCTCATTAATCATGAGCTACTAATGCTAAAACTAGAGTGCTGTGGTGTTAGAGGAAAAGCTAATGATTTAATAAAATCTTACCTCGGCAACCGAACACATATAGTCGGTATCCTACTCCGAAAAAGTACAAACTGTCATAGGAGTGCCTCAAGGCTCCATACTCGGTCCAATTCTTTTCTTGATATTTATCAACGACATAAGTCCCCAAATAGACATCAGCTCAGTTTTTCTGTTCTCTGATGACATCTCAGTTGTTGTGTCAGAGAGAGATATTAATTATCTGAATGAAACATCTAATGTAACAGTGTCTCGAGTTGTTGAGTGGTGCGAAAAGAACTGTCTCTTAATCAATAAAAATAAAACCAATTATATACATTTCAGAAACGGTACGGAAGCCCCACTACATATCAATATAGACAATTCCGAAATTGATGAAACATTTTCCTCCAAATTTTTAGGGATTATGATAGATGAAGAATTGCGTTGGACTGATCAGGTAAAAGCAGTAATGGGTAAATTAACGTCAGCTTGTTGTGTCATAAGATACCTCAGGGATCACATAAATATTAACAATATCAAAATGTTTTATTTCCATTCCA